ATATAATTAAAGAATATTAGTATATAAATTAATAATAAAAATTATAGAATCTAAAAAAATTTAGATATCTCTAAATATCTAAAATTATTACTATTTTTAAATAGTTATAACTCTCTTTTTATCTATTAAAATACTATTATAACTAATAATAAAACTAAAAAATTTAACTTCTATCTAATAGAAAGTATACTTAGATATTTTAGTAAATAACTAAGTATTTTAAAGTTACTTAAGAACTTATTAGATATATTTTATATACTAATTATAAGTCTTAGAGAAAATTAAAATATTATCTAAATAGATAATATAAATAATATTAAGTAATCTATAGAGTATTATATAGATATAGCTTTAAAATATAGTTAGAGTATTAGTAAGTCTAAAAAGTATTACTATATACTTAAAATATCTATACTAAATATAAAATATAGTTTTCTATTTATTACTTTTCTTAATTTAGATATAATAGTATATATTTTAGATATCTACTTTACTAAAATACTAAATATCTATAAAGTAGTTAAGAATCTCTAAAATAAGAAATAATAGGTATTAATTCTTAATTAAAACTTTATTTAACTCTTAATAGTTAATATATAACTATAAATCTCTATTCTTTTTTAGTATAAAAAGAATAGATATTTCTATAGAACTTTTTAATAGATAAATCTTTCTATTTTCTAAATTCTTATTAAAATATTCTTAAAGAATTTTTAATTCTACTTAAGAGAGAGAGTAAATAGACCTAAAAGAGAGTATACTATTTTCTTTAAGATTAATCTTATAATTAGTCTTCTTTCTTAGAGATATAATTTTAGATTTTTAAACTTTAAATATAAATATATAATTCTATAGTTTAGAAGAGATTTAATTAAGATTTAAGCTATTTTTAGATTTATCTTTATCTAAAAGAACTAAATTTTCTTTTAGTATTTTTAGTACTATAAAGATATAAGTTTTATTCCTATATACTTTTATAAAATATAATATAGTTAATATTTTAATTTTTAACTTTTTAGTTTTAAATTACTAATAGTTCTTTTATAGAATTAATATAATTTTATAATTAATTAGTATTATATTAGAAAAAAAAACTAGAGATTCTTTAATTCTTAGATTTCTATTAACTATAATATAGAGTTAATTTAGTATCTTTTTAGTACTATATAAATTATATATAGTAATAGAGATAGTCTAAATACTATAGATATATATATTCTTTTTTTCTAACTACTTCTAAAATAGAAAAGTTAAACTTAGTATATTATATACTATACTTAATAATAAATTTATAGCTAACTAAATTAACTTTAGTATATATATCTAAATTAATATATATTTAGATATCTTTCTCTACTATAATAGAAATATATAATTATATAACTATTCCTACTTAAGACTATAAGTCTAAATCTATAGAATCTAGTTTAATTTATTATCTTTTTCTACTATTTTTAGAGAATTATTTTTAGTTTTTTTAGTTTCTTAAATTCTTATCTTATTATCTTTAAGTTTTAGATAGTCTAACTTTATATAATCTCTAGAACTATATTTCTAGTAAGTTTTAGAAAAGTATTTTTTACTAGTACTAAAAAATTAAAAAAAAATTATTAGTATTTTTTAACTATTTTTTAGTCTTATTTTACTTCTAATTTAATTTTAAATTATTTTATCTTAATTACTTATCTTTAGTTTTATTTTAGTTATCTTAAAAAAAGTTATTATTTTAACTCAAATTTAGAGTTAACTAAAGACTATTTCTAGATAGATAATTTTAACTTATTTTTTTCTCTCTTATAATTCTCTATTAATATTCTATCTTATTAATTTAGCTATTTTAGATTAAAATTTTTTTATTTAGTCTATAAATTAATAGAATTTTTCTTACTAGTAATTTATCTAATTTAGATTAAAATTAATTCTTTTTCTTTTTCTTAGATATTTATTCTATATATTTTTTATATCCTAAAAGATAAAAATAAAACTAAGTTAGATTTTTATTATTTTTTTATTAAAGTTTATTATATTTAAAAATAGTATCTATTTTAAAATTATTTAATTAAAAAATAATACTAATAATCTATATTAAGAATTTTTTCTATATAGTTATTATAGAATTTATAGGGTCTTTAATACTAAAAGTAATTTATTAATTTTAAAGTAAAAATTCTAAGTAATAGATACTTTTAGTAATCTTAGTATCTTTAGAATAATAAATATAAAAAACTCTCTAAGAAATTACTAAAAGAATATTAATCTAAAAATATTACTTTTAGTAGATAAATTTAGTAATAAGATTAAAAATTTTAATTCTCTTAATTTTAGTTAGTTTAGAATATAAGAATATATTTTACTTAGAAGTAATTTCTCTATAGAGTTATTCTTAAAGTTCTTAAGTATATTTCTTAAGTTTAAGAAATTTATTTAGTTTTTACTACTATATAAACTAATTTTAAATTTACTTTTTAATAGAGTATCTAAAGTTATTTTCTCCTTAGTTAGAAGATAAGAATTTAATAGTAGAACTTTCTTAATTTAGATTTAAACTAATTCTAGTAGAATCTAGACTAAATTCTTTTTTAACTACTTCTTTAACTTAAATCTATCCTAAATTAATATTAAAAATAGAGTAAATTAGATCTATATACTTAGAGTAGAATTTAATAAATTTAGAAGTAGGGTTCTAGTAGATAGAAGAGACTATCTTTAGTCTTAGATAGTTAAGAGAGAAAAATTAGAATTATAATAGTAATCTAAGGAATAGACTAGAGACCTATAACTAGATAAGACTTTAGATAGAAATTAAAGAATAGGAGAATTAATCAATAATATATATAAATAATAATAGAAACTAATTCTTAAAGAAACTTCAAGAATAAAGGAAACACTACGTTAAGTTATTCAACCTAACCATTATATAGATTAGATACAAATCAGTATCAAATCAGTATCGAATCAGTATCAAATCAGACACAAACCCCTAGTGTAGCTAAGACAAGATTGGGTCACCACAGGGAATACAAAGAGAGTTAGTTACTTCTCACTGAAGCTTACCCCCTTTGACACAAGCCCTATAACACAATATTATCTAAATCTAATCAAATTAGATTATTAGAGTATCCTATCTTAATATTACCTATATTATAGTATAGTAAAGAGTAGTTAGTATATAACTAAACTAATATAGATATAAATTTACCTTTAGTATTAGAGCTTTAATCTATTATCATCACTAATCTATATTCTAAAGAGTAAAATACAAGAAAAATTATACTATTAGCCCTAATAACCTACCTAAAAAGAAAGTAAGACCTATCAAAGTTATTATATAATAATAACTACAGTAATAGCTCTAGTAATATAGATAATATAGACTATATTAGCAATAACTCTATCTTATCCTATAGATTAAAAAGAGCTAGATAGATAGTAGTAAAAATTTCTCCTACTTATCTATAATCTAATAAAAACCCTTATTATAATATCCCCTTATAGTATAGTATTTCTTAGACCTCAAAAAATAAGAAATATTACCCCTAAATACTAAGGGATCGATATTCTATATCTAGTCTATCCAATATAGAGACAATTCCTATTTAAGATTTTCTAATATAGGAGATACTTCTTTTAAAGGTTATATATTTAATTATCTTTAAGGAGTGAAATAAGGGTATCTACTTACAGAAACCTAGTAGAATTCCACCAGATTATAAACGTAAAGCTTAATATAGAAAGTTTCCCCAGCAGAAAAAGTCCTAGGTTAGAAAATTAGTTAGTCTACCTCGAAGTTTATCTAAAGACAACAAATTTTTGATCGAATTAAAGGAAGAGAGAGAATTAATGTAGAAATAAATCAGAGAATATTTCCCTAAAAGATCAGTAGGCTCACTACAGATACGGTATTCTACACAACTTAAGAGCCAGCATAGAAGAAGACTTAAGTACAATAAAGATCCCAAGAACCAGACCGCATACAGCAGATCATGTCGGGAAGAACCCTGTCAAAGCGGTAGATTTTCAGCGACGAATGTCAACAGCCAGGCTACCGAAAGATCGCTGAGACAGCGATACGGTCCACCTCGGCGCAGGCAAACTGTCGAGCGTTACTCCCCAGTTTGAGATATCAAAATTCTCGAATTCTTATGTACCACTTATCACCCAGAAACACCTTGAAACACCTGAACACTTAGCCCCAACCTCTGGATTCTGATGCCCGAGGATTGAAACATAATCAACAGTAGTGCCCCTTTCAAGATTTGAATGTAGAATCTAGTAGAATCTTTGTTTTTTTGACATTACCAGCCCGCACAGCATACATCAATGGTGTCTCCCCGGTAATATCAGTCATGTCCATTGGCTGACCGGTCCTGAGGTATGAGACAACTAGATCCTCGTGGCCAAAATACGCAGCCGTGTGAGCTTGGGTAGATCGCCAAGCAAAGGAGAAGTGCTCATAGGCATCATAATAATGCGCTATCCAGGTCATATGGAGAGCTTTTCTTTGTTCGAGAAACTTCAAAATAAGATCATGTATTTTAAGGCCATTATACATCTATATGCCTCCCAGTCCAGTGGAATGGGCTTTTACCACCCCCACAAATCGAAATTCAATGCATACCCTTGTGCTCTGAGAGTAATGGTCACCCGGCAAGCCATCTTTGGCCTGATAGTCAAGTATGGCCATTGATCACCCCCTCGAAGAAAGCCTATTTGGTTGTTGAGATCACGGCCATTTGAGCCTAGGTATCGATGGTATTCTAGGTTTTCCATGTCTCTCGGTTGAGAGTTGGGGAAATACACCGAGAATCAGCTTGAACTCATAGTCGTCGCTCTTGACTAGTCTTGATTGGATAGTCTCCTTTCGCCGAAATGAACTCAGTAGGGCCCCCTTCGCCGCTTAGTAGGCGCGATCTGAGGCCCTATATTCTCCTATTCCTTGGTATCTTAGGTATGGCTTTTGTTCTTTTGATGTCCTATTTTCTATACAAATATAATTAATTGGACTAGTTCTGTTTAGATCACTAGTAGTGGTTTAGCCTCTATAATTTATATAGATCCTAGAATCTAGACTCCGACCTACCTAAAAAGCACAGGAATCGACTAATTACAAACCAAGGTTAAGATAGTTTCGAGAGAAGTAATTGGATGATCGGGGAATTCACATCTATGAATGTATGATGAAATGCATTCTGAGTAATCCCCCTACACCATATCGTATCCGGAGCACGACCTCGGAACCTTCCCCACTATGTGAGGCCGTATATATATATCAAAGACACTTAACAAAGGAAAGTAGCGAAGTAGGCGACAGCCGTAAGAGCCTTGATCTCATCGGTTGATGTCTCTCTCCTCTTCCCTCCCACATCCAGCCAAACAAAGGTGACTGGGATAAGATAAAACACAACCCTCTTAAGGCTTTCCTCAGTCGATATCGGGCGCGATAGTTTACTCTAAATCGGTTCAGTCATAGTCTAAGACGTTTAAAGAGATCAGAAAGTTTGGATAACTAACCGGCTTTCTTGATTGTGAAGAACGAATTATCCATGTTGGAGGGATTTTTCACCAGCTTCAGAGTGTTCTCGTCTGTCCAAGTGAGGACTGATTGGGAGCTTATCTCACCAAACCCCCAGGTATCGGAATTTTTCTGATGGTACGGGTGGAAAATCTGAGCCTGCCGCGACTGCGTACAGGCGGATCCTCCAGAGCAGTATAGGTATTTACCGGAATCGGCATTCTGGATAGATTGGCCCTGGTTGTCAGAGTCTTCGATAAAAAACCAAGTTTGGTCCTCCTCTCCAGTGGGGCTCTCAAATGTCAAAGGTTGTTTGGACTTCGATGCAGCTGTCAGGAGGGAGTCGCCGTTGGCTTGAGCGATTGTTTGGGGTCCCTTGCCCACTCGGGACTCCTGGCTGAAAGCCTGGCCACAAAGGGCGACAATAGTGCCGATGGCAATGTTGGAGAGACGCATGTTGGGATGGTGTGGTGGGAAGGCTATAAAGAGATTGAAAGGTTCGAGGTTGATATCGAGAACGTGAAACCTGGCAAGAGACGTGGCTTATATACCTGGTCGTTCTCGGCATAAACCTAATCATCGCGGAGATTGATTTGAAATGGATCAGATGATCGACCTTGAAAGCGGGTCCACACATTGATGTTGATGATTCCCGAGGTCCAAGGCTGGGGGTGATCCTAGGACTATTAACGATCTAGTTACTCCGTACAGGCTAAGGTATATCGCCCGTGGAGCTGAGACCAATTTTTGAATGTGTTTATAAACGATTGGCAGTTCTCATATCCTACGATCTCGCGCCCCACTGATCAGCGAAAAATCGAAGAGATCCATTTTAGTGTTTTCGATAGCATATATGTTGATTCAATAGTTGCTCAGCCGCAGATCCACTTTCCTCTATTTGAATATTCACCCCAGCTCGCTCAAGGTGTACCGCCGGGAAGAGAAAACTACGGTGAATCTATGGAGTAGTCATGGCTTAAATTTGCCATAATTGGCTCTTAAATTCGGGCATACAGCCAGACGGGTGTGGCCAGATCGGCCAGGAATTACGTTATAGGTTATGGGAAACCCCAAAAAGGTGGGTCCATCCAATAAATTTTAGTACCAAATGACAATGCGTGCCTAGTATGCCGAAAGCGGGAGTTAACTGTAGTGGCCAACGAGAAAATGCATTGACTACTGCCTGTAAGGTGCTGCAAATTCTCACCATAATCTGTCAGTAACAAAAATGATCATTAGTTTTTCCCTACTGAATCAAGATTCAGTAAGAAATTTGAAAATTTAAGATGAATGCACATGCTGAACAGCAAACAGCTATTATAGGTATATACTAAAAACCTTACTTCTTACAGATAGTAAGTCAGTTCGCCAACACATAAATACTGGTAAGTGGGTCCGATTCTAACCACTATTTCTTGATTTGCCTGATCAACGATTCCTGCAGCACTTGAAGACCTTATTGCGCTTCTCCCTTACTTTATAGGGAGCTAGTGATCCGTTTTGTAGTTCGAATTTATCCACTCTTTGCATGCCCCACCTGGTCACTCTTAAGTTACTGAAACATGACTAGGTGAAACATGCAAAGTGCTTGCCAGGCTAAGTCGATGCATGATACGAGTTACATGACTAACTATCACGCTGTTCTGGCGATCTTTTTAACTGCGATCTCCTCCTGCATTCAGTCGCTAATCCTGTTAGCCAGTAGGGACATAAATATAGCCTTCGTCCCGCAGGACTTTGCCAGTCTTTCATACTTTCAAGTCTTGAAACCGATTTCTCCATACAGAATAACCCCCTAGGCTCCCGCCGCTGACGTTATAAAACCGAGATTATTGAACCGCTAGAACATCTATCCTTCTCAAATTATATACTAAGCTCCAGTGACTACACATAGTTATTTACATCAAGATGAGATCTCTATTTGTAATCACCGTCACTATTCTTAGGTATGTAATCTGTAGATCTACATATTCCAATATCTAACTTACGCCACTGCTAATTAGTCCTTTTATCCACGGTTTGTTCGAATCACAAACTACTTAAGAACATGCGGCTAATGAGTTTAGGTGCACTTGGATTGGACTGCTCTAACTTTGAGAACGCATACTGCGCTACTCCTGCAGGTTCGCCCTGTCTTGAGGGATACTACAGTAAATTCTATGACACCGGTTGTAACGACGGTCAAAAGTGCTATCGTACGAAAGGGTAACTAAATAAATCCAGTTTAAATAACCTTCTAGTGTCTATAGTAGGGCACCCAAGACTATATCCTAAAGTCAAACAGTCTGATTATTAAATCAAGATACTAGCAGACAGCTATCATTTAAGAAGGTGACTAAGTGAACGGTACCTGAGTGAACTTATAAGATCTACTATGGAGTAGCTATAGTCAGATCTAAGAGCTGAATTGACCTCTTATCAGAGCTAGACACTAGGAGGTATCTATTATCTAAGAATACTATTGAGAAAACTAAGCTTAAGCGGCCCTAACTAGTCCACTACAGAGAGCCTATAGCTAGATCCTAAATACGGACACTATAATTATAGGAGCCGGACATAATTAGGTAGCTATCGGGCAAGAAACCTATAGAGTAAACTACTTAGAAGTAGCCTTTAAAAACCTACTATAGAGTACTAGTAAACAGATCTCAGAGCCTAACAGTCCAATTATAGGAGCCAGACACCAGCAGGCCATTATATAAAAAGGCCATAAAAGTAACTATATGTGCATAACCCTTAAAAGTCTACTTAAGAGTACCTATTACCAAATCCTATAGTTAAGCTATATAGTTATCAGAGCCTAAAGCTAGTAGGCTACTATTATATAAGAAAGCTACCGAGCAAACTTAGTCAGTATTACCTATAAGAATCTACTATAAAACTCCTATGGCTGAATCCTAGAGGTAGATAGTCTAATTATTAGACCTAGATACTAGTAGGCTACTATTATGTGAGAAAGCCACTAAGTTTACTTATCTAGATAGCCATTAAGCTTATACTATAGGGTACCTACAGCCAGATCCCAGAGTCAGACGGTCTAATTATTGGAGTCAGAGACTAGAAAGTAGCTATTATTTGGCTTTAAATTTTTGCCGAATTATTGTCATCTTTAGTACAAATACTAGACCTACGTAGTAAATTTGAAGGGGAGCATCGTCAGCTATCCGTCAATTGTTAAGGATAAACCTCTTTACATTATACAAAAATTCCGATAAATTCTTGTATCCATTCTTGCCGTCAATTAGCACAAGGAAAACGAAATACTTAGTAACACTTACTTATAAAGCTGATCACAGCAGATTGATAATTCCAACAACTTTAGAAACAAGTTCAAGAAGGCTTATTACTTCTACCCAGTAAAGGAAATACTTCTCAAGGAATAACAATACTTCATTTATTTCAGCAATAGTTACTTTACTTTCTGTTAGGTAATATGCCCAATAACGATATAAATATTATAACTCTAGAGAGATATAGTAATTAATAATCCAACGATCAATCTCTGAACATTTTATATTATACTTTATCCCACAGATATTCTTTCTCAGAGAGCCACATACATAAAGGCATCTCATAAACAATCTCTGATAGATCTCCTTCTTATCCACCTAGAATATAATTTTGTATCGTGTTTCCTGATCAAGGAGGAAGTCTCAAAATAATAAGTAAAACAGGCGTACTGGCTTTGCGGGATCCTCGGGTATATTTAGAACTGAGCACAGTGAACTCAACTTGCGTTCAGTTTGCCTTTCAGCAACGCCAAGGAGTTGAAAAAGTGAGTCTGCCGAGAGTGGACTCTCAAGCACCATAATAGCACCAAGAAGTTCCTGATAGTCCTGAATCAATTTCCTTTCCTGCTTTTTGCTCTGTCATTTAAGAAGTCGATTCAACACTGGAAGGTACGTCCCGTCGAATTGTAAAGAATCGTTTCGATGTGCAAATATCTCAGTGAGACTGTCAGTTGGGTCCCACTGAGGGTCCTCGAGAATACGGCACGTGGTGGCGGCAAAAATGAATAACGGGCTTGATACATTCACAAGAGATCGAATATTATCGGCTCCAGGCCACCCAGCAGGAAGTGACCGGTCCGCCCTTATCACTGAAAGTCGGTGCCTTACGAACAATGATATGTCATGCTCTATCGCCGATTTATCGATCTCATGGAGAACACAAATGTTTTGCCCATCGCTTGTGGCTCTTGAGAATTCTCGGAGGATCGGCCATTCAGGCCTGCTTGTCAAAAACATTCGTAGACGAATAGTATTAAGTACTCCTAGTTGTCATAGCAACCGAAGAATGATTCGGATGTCCTCATCCCGTTCACATTCGTCGTCCAATGCGTCAATCACTATCACCAAGGTAGACGTTGGAAGATAGCTTGATTTTAAGCTTAGCAGTGGCTGAAGGAGTAACTTCTCAAACTGCTCTTTTAGCAATTTACCCACAACATCGGGTCGTCGTCAAGTGCTTTCTGGGCAAATGGAATTAAATGAGGAAGACTTAGCACTAGCTGCCTTGTGATCGTCGAAAAGAGCTTCATGGCATTTCCGCGATCTCCTTCTCCTCTCTTGAAAACGAAACTTTCCTTCTTCTCTTCTCTCTCTCAGCTTAATACTTTCGTTCAATACTACTGCTATCTTTCGAAGCGTCTGAGTCCTTACAGCTAAATTGGGAACAAGGATACTGTGTGGCATTACGTAAACAGATTCAAGAATATTCTAGAGAAGCTTACTGTCTTCTATCTGTGCTATCCTAATAAGCCTAGGCCTCCAATGAGGCTTTCGATATGGCTCGACACCGCAAAAAATGATGAATTTGAGGCAGATTATGAGGATGATAACACGCCGGTGGCACCGGATTGACAAAGCTGCGGCCTGGGGCCCAGGCCTTTTAAAGAGGGAAACTGTAACGATTGAAGCCTTCGGTGCCTGGGCACGTACCTAAACACGTGACCCGGATAGCCGCTCATGTGTAGATAGTTGCGATGGGAGCTTCTCTCCTTCTTCTCTCTCTCTCAGCTTAATACCTTCGTTCATACTACTGCTATCTTTTAAAGCATCTGAGTCCTCACACTAACTCACATACTCATTTCAACTAACAGGTTACCTGACCCATCAGATGTTACCAAGAAGCTTGGTCATCCATTTCAACAGTGTCCACTTAGTAGTGTCCCGTATGCCTCCCGACCATTACAGTTTATCACTTTGAAGCTTTAACAGATTTATTATATGCAGCTCGGGTGGAATACATACATCTTCAAGCTTATAATTGATCTAAGAGTAGCTGGCATAGAAAACGCTACGGTAGTATTGACCTAGCAGGAGGAGAATGTGCAAGCGATCAAAAAATTGTGCCATATCTATCTAGCATTTCACAGAAGACGGTCCATTTGAGGTAACTCTACCCGCCGGTGATGGATTTATCGATGTGGCTTGAAGTGCATTCCAAATCTGTCATATTTGTTTGTATATTTCTCAAGGTAATACATGGCCAAATGGGTGGCTAATTTACCTTTTTACGGAACAGAATGCGGAGCAACACCCGCCACGGGCAATAACCAAAAGTGTGGGGTCCCCACAATACCTCCACAAGGCTTACTGTAGGGTTTCGTTGAACTATTTAAATAGACTCAAAGTTGATGTATGATCGAGAAATAGATAATCCCGCTTTGAAAACCCCGTTGGACAAGCTGCGTTGCCCGGCATGTGGTCCATTGTCCGTCTTTATTTCACACTTGGCGTGATAGCCACTGCGCTGCCTGCTGTATCTGGACACGCTTTCAGTAAACCAACAAAATTACGTACTGTTGTCACAACCGACATGGAACAGGACGATCTCGCCTCGCTCATCAGATACCTACTTTACACAAATGACATCGATACGGAAGGCATCATATATAGCTCTAGCGTATGGCACTGGGCCGGCAATGGCAATGGCACGTCGCTGCGCTGGACTGGAACCCGGACCATTGAGGATATTGTCCTTAAGGCTTACGCAGAGGTTTATCCGAACCTTCGTCGCCATGATTCATCCTACCCAACCCCAAAGAAGCTGCTGTCCACGGTCAGGATTGGCAACATCGACTTTGAGGGTGAGATGAATAAAGACACCGCTGGCTCTGACCTCATCAAAGAGCTCTTGCTGGACGATGATCCACGAAATCTTTACTTGCAGGCCTGGGGTGGCACCAATACTATCGCCCGTGCCCTCAAGTCAATCGAGGATCGATATTCCAAATCAAGCAACTGGGCACGAATCAAAGATGGAATCTCCCGCAAGGCTGTCATAATGGCCAGTGGCTTCCAGGATGATACCTACTCCGATTATGTCGCCCCGCACTGGCCCCAGATTCGCGTTGAGGACCTTTCAGCTGGCTACGCCCTCTGGGCATATAATTGCGACGAAGGCAAAGGTAACATTCGCGGGCTACCCAACGATAACTTGTATTTCGCTGGTAAATGGATCAGGCCAAACATCGAAATGGGACCGTACGGAAAGCTCTATCGCTCCTGGCTCGATGGTCAGTCCATGCCAGGTGACCCAGAGGATATTTTCGGCAATAAAACAAAAGCAGCGGCTAGCTGGTGCAAACCACTTGAGCCGTACGACTTTCTTTCCGAGGGCGATAATGTGGCTTTCAACCCCCTCTTGACCACCGGCCTTCAGGACCCAGCTAATCCAAACCTTGGTGGTTGGGGTGGTAGAGCAAAACAAAACTCTTCTTCTCCGGATCTATGGGTGATGGTTCAAAGTGAGGTCGGCAAAAATGGTAGCGAAGTAGATTTATACACTATGAGCCGTTGGATAGCACCGATTCAGAATGACTTTGCGGCCCGCATGCAATGGACAGTGACACCGAAGTACCGCGACGGAAACCATGCGCCCACTGTGAAGATTTTGAATGATAGCATAGTGAAGGGACTTCCTGGTGCCACGGTCACTCTGACTGGTGCGGTTTACGATCCAGATAATAACAACGTCAAAACTTCCTGGTGGCAGTATTTGGAGGAAGGCACCTACCCCGGCACCGTGTCTGTGGCTTCAAAGGGAAAAACTCAAGCGAGTGTGAAGATCCCAGCTAATGCAAAACACGGACAGACTATTTCGATTATCCTAGAGGGAATCGACGATGGACAGTTTCCTTTGACTCGCTATGACCGTGTTGTTATTCAGGTCATTTAACCTGACCTAGATCAATCGATGTATCCATTTTCTTATCCAATTGTTCTATCAGAGTATAAACGTAGTTCAACAAGGCATTAAGACAGGACCAAATTAATATAAACCTGGAACATTTGGCGGACACTGGGTGCCTTAAGCTTCAGGCCTTGTTCGATTTTTCACGTGAAAGCTAGCTTTCGTTGTCGACTGTAATAAGGACGTCATCTGATTAGAGCTCATCATTATTATTTCTTGTTTCCTTCTGAGACTGAACGGATTTTTATAGCTTGGTAGAAAGTTAATAATAAAAGCGCTTCGGGCCGCATACAGAAGCGGGCCAAGCGTGGTTAACATTAACAAATTAGTCTGGGGTAAAATTCTCGGTAATCAGAAGCGCCTCGCACTAATCGAACTGGCCCGCTCTACTCTAGCTGAACTTAGTGTGTGCATTAAGTCCCCAAAGTGGCCCATTTGGGGTTTCCCCGGAGTTCCCCGCAAACCCCGCAGTATTCCCGAGTGGCACCAACTTCCAAAAAGCAAGCTGGTCCCAAGGGGGATAATGTAACCACGCTCTAATATTTTGCCAGAATGGTCTGATTCTGCAGCATTGGCTTACATAGATATGTTGATCTCCACCCACCGCGCTCACTCAAGAGCTTGTGATTATATTGTGACATCTTCGGTTTCAATCGAGATAAATCCATTTCCATCTTTAAAACTAAGACCCTGGCCTATTTGACTTAATCTCGGGATTCAATATGGCAGAAATGGTAGACGAGTCAAATAGGGACTCCCGCGTCCAGGCGGCGATGAAGAACCGTTGGACATCGCTATTACACAATCCTAAACTGATGGTCATTGCTCTCTTCGCCTCGTACGTATCATATGCTCTTATCTGGGAGAAATTACTCTTACAGCTTATATAGGGTCGGCGGATTCGAGTATGGATACCAACAGGGAGTCTTGGGCCAGTCTCTTGTTATGACTCGCTTCACAGACAACTTTCCTACTGTCGTTGCATCCTCCAGCGCGACCGGCTGGCTCACATCGATTCTGCAACTAGGTGGTATCCTAGGATCTCTCTCCGCCGGAATCCTGGGTGAGATATTCTCCCGGAAGTATACTATGTTTTCAGCCTGTTGTTGGGTTGTCCTCGGGAGCTATCTCTATTGTGGAGCCAGCTACCATAAACCGGGTTTGCTATATGCTGGCAGATTCTTTACCGGTCTTGGAGTTGGTACTTTCAGTGGTGTTGGGTGAGTTTGATTTTGACTCTTTGTCTAATCTCATCAACTAATTACCTAATGCAAAAGTCCCCTCTATAATGCTGAACTATCATCGCCCGAGCTTCGCGGATTCTTAGTATCATTTTATCAATTCGCTACCATTTTTGGTATTATGTTGTCCTTCTGGATAGGATATGGAAGTAACAATATTGGTGGAATTGGAGAAACACAAAGTGATATGGCCTGGCGTCTGCCATCTATCATCCAAGGCATTCCAGCTGTGCTACTCGCATGTGGAATCTGGTGGCTACCTTTTTCTCCTCGCTGGCTTGTCAAAAAGGGTAGAGTCCAGGAGGCGCTTACTACCCTATCCTATCTGCGCAACCTACCGGAAGATCATGAGCTAATCCAGGCCGAGCTTAAAGAGATCGAGGCAGAGAGTCTCTTCGAGAAGCGATCCTTTGCAAAGACATTCCCGAACCTAGCTGCCAAGGAACAAGGAAGTGTATTAGTTCGCGAGTTCGCCCAGTATTATCGAATTTTCCGGACTTGGGATAACTTCAAGCGGGTTGCGATTGCGTGGCTTGTTATGTTCTTCCAGCAATGGAGTGGTATTGACGCAATCATCTACTACGCCAGCACAGTATTCCAAAGTTTGGGTCTGACTGGAGGCACTCAAGCCCTACTTGCGACTGGAGTTACTGGAGTTGTGTTCTTTGTATGTACTCTCCCGGCTATGCCTCTTATCGATAGAGTTGGCCGAAAGCCTATGCTTTACGCCGGTTCGGCTGTCATGTGGATCTCGATGGTCCTAGTTGGCATCATCGTTGCCAAGTTTGGAAGCGACTTTGAAAATCATTCAAATGCGGGCTGGGCTGCAGTGGCTTTCATCTGGATCTATGTCGGCGCATTCGGTGCTACATGGGGTCCTGTATCATGGACGCTGGTAGCAGAGATATTCCCGCTGTCTATTCGCTCTAAAGGCTCATCCTTCGGTGCTTCGAGCAATTGGGTAAGTGCATCATCCATCGGAGTTCACAAACAGCACTGACTCGGATTCAGCTCAATAACTTCGCCGTCGCTTTCTTCGTTCCACCTATGTTCCAGACTTGGAAGTGGGGCACATACATTTTTTTCGCCGTCTTTCTTGCTGCTAGCATTGTCTGGATTTATTTCTTCCTTCCAGAGACCAAGGGTGCGACATTGGAAGAGATGGATCGTGTTTTCAAGAGCCGCTCAGGAGAGACGGACATGATCATGTTAGATGAGGCACGTCGGGATGTCGCTATAGCGCACGATTCCGCGCTGGAAGTCGAGAAAGAGATGATTACTCATGCGGAAGAGCGTGGCTCGTCGAAGGAATAGTCAGGGGTTTTATTTGTGCTTTGGCGAGGGGACAACGGTCGGAGTTCTGGTGAGCAACTGCATAGGCGAGCTGCTGACCTATTTGCTCTTGCGCCTTGCTCATGTCGCATTGGAGTAAATCAATGCGAATTAAAATAAACTCGAGTACGGCGCGAATAGTAGCAACGATGGTTGCCGGCATGACCCTTCTACTTGAAAAATCCCAGATGGGTTAGTGGGTACAAATTCGGGGAAATTTGGCTAGGGCAATTAAACGAGGCATTGGTACGTTCTGAAGTACATACAGCTTTTTCTATTATCAGAATTTGAGTTATTGAAGATGACATATCAGCACTTCAGATTCGGGTTGTATTCGAGATCTTTAGATACAAGTGTAAAATGACTACAACTGGGGATTATTCAGGACACAAAAAAAAATTTGAATAAAATGAGCAAACAAAAATAAACAACAGCCGAGGTTCGCATATGATTATTATAATGTCCCCGCCCACCCTCCGACAACCCTAAGCCAAGAGAATCTAATCCGAAGAAAGCAAAAATAAAGCCTTTTATATTGGCTGTATAAGTATGTAACGAATTATTTCTGGCTTTTCTTTCGAGACACATTGGAAAAGTCCCAAGGCTAGAGCTGTATGTATTATCTCATATTAATCTAGGCAGAATATAGGTGCTTATCTATATGCGAAGATATATGTCGTGACTCGTATGTATACCGCACTATATAGACACCTAATTCCACAGGCATCAATACACGTGTATAGAATGCATGTAAATTACATAGATACCTCCCACGTTCTGTTTTGCTGAAAACGGCCCCCCCCTCGATGGGGCTAAAGCGGAAACGGCCCCGTTCCTTCCTGTCGTGTTTATCGATCTGGCCACCTCAGAGCTTCCACCTTTTTCATTCTTACTCTCCCTTCACTTTTTTCCTTCTTCCTTCCCCTTTGTCTTTTTTATTAGTTACTATTCTATCTAGTGACTCTTTTCTAACTCTTCTCTTTCTACGGCCTCTCCGGCCACTATGGTTTTTTGAAGCCTTTCCTGTCGCTCATTTCGAACCACTCGGTCCCCTCGACCCCCCCCCCCCTTACCCTACCATTCCCATCAATCTATCCAATTTAGGCTTGGGCCTAACACAACATGGCAGCAATGGATACTGCTACCAGTACGGGAGCTCAAAATAATGCCGACTTACGTTTCCGAAATGTCACAGGAGCTGGAAGACCCCAGACCCCTGTTCTAAACGTGCCGGAGATAGACACGAAGAAGAGCAAGGCTGGCCAGTCGCCATCGTTTTTGCATGTCCTGGCTCGTTGGGAACCGATCATTGCCCCGATTGTCCTAACCGCTCTTGCGCTCTTCACCCGACTGTATCGCATCGGTCGCTCCAACATTGTCACCTGGGACGAAGCTCAGTAAGAATACATCTATCCCTAAACTGACATTGACCTGGAACATTGTCATTTACCTGACTGCTCTGTTTTTAGTTTCGGAAAATTCGGTTCTCACTACTTGAAGCGCGAATTTTACTTCGATGTCCACCCACCCCTCGGAAAGATGCTAGTTGGCCTTTCGGGCTATCTGGCTGGATATAACGGATCCTTCGAATTCAAATCCGGCGAGAAATACCCCGAAGATGTCAACTTCACTTTTATGCGAGCCTTCAATGCTGCATTTGGCATCGTCTGTGTGCCATTGGCCTACTATACCGCCCGTGAATTGAATTTCCGTCGCGCCACTGTTTGGCTGATCGCCCTCATGGTCCTGTTCGAGAATTCATATGCGACTATCTCCCGCTTCATTCTCCTCGACTCGATGCTTCTCTGCTTCACCTTCACAACGACGATGTGCTGGGCGAAATTCCACCGCCTACAACGCTCGAGTTTCACCCTGGAGTGGTATGTGTGGCTATGTCTGACGGGCCTGAGTATCGGCTGCGTTTGTAGCGTGAAGTGGGTTGGCTTCTTTTGCACTGCAATTGTTGGCCTTTACACCATCGAGGATCTGTGGAATAAATTCGGTGATTTGAAGATCCCCCAAGTGAGTATATTCCGAGTTTCAATCGAGCCTCGGTTCACCAAAAAAGATCGTCTCTAATCGCTCTATTTTTAGACTGTGCTCGCAAAGCATGTTGTTGCTCGGGTGGGAGGCTTAATTGTCATTCCAATCCTTGTATACATGTTCTCTTTCTATCTCCACTTCCTCGTTCTCGCTAACAGTGGCCCCGGCGATGCTCAAATGAGTTCCTTGTTCCAGGCCAATCTACGCGGCACCGAGGTCGGCAGAGACAGCCCTCTGGAAATAGCACACGGTTCTCGAGTTACTCTTAAGAACATGGGATACGGCGGTGGTCTCCTTCACTCACACGTCCAGACTTACCCCGAGGGTTCGAACCAACAACAGGTCACCTGCTATCATCACAAAGATTCC